TCTTCTATCTCTCACTCTCTCCCTCGCTCTCTCCCTCTCTCTCCCTCTCTCTCTCCCTCTCTCTTCCCTCTCTCACTCTCTCTCCCTCTCTCCATCTCCTCGCCCGCTCTCAATGTTTGCTCCCTCTACTCACTCTCTCATCTTCCTATCTCTCTCCTTTCTCTCTCGTCACTCTTTCTCTCTCCCTCTCCGCTCGCAATCTCTCTCTCCTCTCTCTCTCTTTCTCTCCCTCTCATCTCCTCCTCCTATCTCCCTCTCGCTATCCCTCCAGCCTCCCGCTCGCTCTACTCTCTTCTCTCCCTCTCTCCCTCTCTCTCTCCCTCTCTCTCCTCTCCTCTCCCTCTCTCCTCCCCTCTCTCTCCCTATATTCAAGCTCTCTACATCTCTCTCCCGCTCTCTCCCTCTCTCCATCTTTCTCCATCTCTCCCTCTCTCTATCCCTCTCTCTCTCCATCTTCTCTCTCCCTCTCTCTCCCCTCTATCTATCCCCTCTCTTCTCTCCCTCTCTCTTCTCTCCCTCTCTCTATCCCATCTCTCTATTCCCTCTCTCTCCCTCTCTCTATCCCTCTCTCTCTCCAGCATCTTCCTATACTCTCACTCTCTCGATCTATAGGACGGATCGCACTATTTTCTCCCTCTCTCCCCCTCTCTCGCCCTCTCTCCCCCTCTCCCTCTCTCTCCCTCTCTCTCCCGCTCTCTCCCTCTCTCTCCCTCTCCCTCCTTCTTTCCCCCTCTCTCTACCTCACTCCCTTTCTCTACCTCTCTACCTCCCTCTCTACCTCTACCTCTTTACCTCCCTCTCTACCTCTCTCCCTCTCCCGCTCTCTCCCTCTTTCACTCTCTGATTCTCGCACTATCTCTCTCTCACTTTCACTCATGCAGTCACTTTCACTCACTCATTCACTCACCGTGTCTCTGGCCCTCTTCTCTCTTACGTCGGTGTTTTCTCCACCCCCTCGTGGAAGCAAAATCGATTCCAGCCACTGTCAAACGCTGGTGCTTCGACCTGGGCATCCCGGAAGGCTTCAGCTCCCAGAGACTCCAAAAACCCCTTAATTCAGGAATATTCCTCAAACTAGAATAGGAACCCTATAGTAGGATTTAAGGCTTCTTCCTTAACGAAGCGGTTTTGGAGTCTCTGGGCTTTCTGATGCGATTGCTCACTCCAAGTGCTGGGTCCCGTCGCGCCAGCTCTTGCTCCACTGCCACATCAGAAGCAACAAATCAGCAGACGGTGGACTAAGAGGGGGTTGGGAGAATCTTGGAAAGCGCGTTGCAGCGTCGGAGGGTCGGTGCTTGCACGGCGCGGCTTCTTCGCCTTACCTTCCAGGGGAATCCGGAAGGCGCATCTCTTCGAATCGTTGATCCAGAGCTTCATCTTGCTTGTAACCAACGCGACCAGGGGACGGTTTCCCAACGCAGAGCAAGATGGCTGGCGAGAATGCTCGCCTGGCTATTCGCGGCCACCCATTTCGCAAGTAAGATGTCGTTGCAAGCGAGGAAGCCTGCCCAACCAGGATGGGCTATTAGGCCTTATACTCCCCATAATGAACCCTATAAAGGACCTTTTGTAGGGGATTATTGGGTACATAATAGCCCATCCTGGTAAGCGAATGTTCGCGACGGCCTGCGCCGTAGATTGGGGTGACCAGCCTGGTCTCACGACGTGCCCAGGTTTTTGGCGCCCCTTCTCTCGCTTTGGAACCAGGCAGCACGGCAATCCGTAGCTCGCAGTCATGTCGAAGTTGCACGCCGAAGTTGTCTGCTCTCGTTTTAGAAATCAAGCCTTAAACCTTAAACTTATAAACCCGCGGTCTCCGGCGCGCCGATTTTGTTCATAGAGCGGTTCAGGGTGTTTGGGCTTGTGTTCGACGGCTTGCACAGCTGTCCGCAGCAAACCAGACCACGTGAGTTACTACGCCTCGGAACGTTGGACTGATTATTTTCCCGCTGGCGAAGCCCCTGTTCCGGGCCATGTCAGCTTTTTACCGAAGAGCGGACACGCTTTAAAGGGCCTATAGGGCAATCCATCAGCCCAAATGCGGTCACCAAATCCGACTGTGGCCACGCACGCCGTTTGCCGGAACTTGCGGACACATGCGCGAGAGGTCTACTGCACGACGCGGAATACCAGACAGGTTACGTATTCGGTCGCACCTGCCGAGAAGTGGAGCAACGTTGCGCGGAAGAGGCTGCGATTTGTGACGGAGTCGGGCGAGGCATGAAGTTTGGGGACGCAAGCAATATCGGTGGTGGTCTGTGCCCCGTTAAGAGACGTGTGTCACAACATTGAAACCTGCTTCCGTATTCTGCTTAATTTATTTTTTTGCGCACATACATAAGGGCAATCATGTGCACAGATACGGATTTGTCAGCAAGCATCTTTCGATGTTTTTCTTCAAGCTCACGAGTGCGCGCATAAGTATGGCGCGCGCATATACTCGTGTGTGCAAACGCCATGCATCTTTCTGTGCACATTAATATGCGTGCAATTGTACACATGCACTCATGCGTCTGAGCGCACACGCATGTGCTCCGGTGCATATGTACCAGATGGTACAACATGGTCTGTTTGTCGTTACGAATCCGGGCAAAAAACATGGTGTAGTTCGGACCAATGGCCAGGAACGCTTCCGTGCAAACACGTTCTTACATACATGTATGTGCACATACACACATGTGTATGCGTGCGCACACACAGGTGCGTGTGCAAGGACATTTAGATTTGCGCGGAAAAGCGTTCCAATGCACGGCAAGATAATTTGAGAATCCGGCAAAACAATCCGGCCAACAAGTCCGTCGCGGTGCACGTCTGGGATCGGATCCATGCCCTATTTCGGCATCGGTGGGGACCAGCGCGATATCAACATGTAGGGTTTCATGGTACGGTACTGGTAGTGTGCGTTCAGGTGATGTTCAGGTCCGGGTGCAAAGTTGCAAAAACAACGCGGCATCCAGCATATTTTGCAAGAATATGCAACAACACTGCAACAACCATCACACGCGTTTATAGCATTTTATAGTCCCGTCGTTTCCCCCAGCCGTATGTTCGGATGCCGCACAACGCGCTGAAATACATGTCAACGATTTTGTTCGTGTACTGTTTGTTGTTCCCATCAGCGTGCTTGCACATGGGAGTAACTGATAGTTGGAAAGCTAACCGCCAGACGGGCGACACTGGCTTCCCTGCCGAGAATTGACAAGTCGGACGTGCGGGGGAACTTCCTTCACGGTTGGCAGCGTGAGCGCACCGTCATTTTCTTCGACACGCACCTTGTCGCACCTCGACCCACGCAGCCCGCCCGCCAAACCTGCCCCGAGCAGGCATGCACGTTTCGCTGTGATTGGGATTCGTGTTGGTGGGACATTCAGCAGTGACGACGCCTCCTTGCTGTTGGCGAAGATCGCATACATCATCATACATCCGAGAAGGCTACGCGGCCTGGTTTCCTCGTTTGTAAAGAGCCTGGAGCTGCCTGTTCATCCGCCACCTCGCTCGCGCCCCCGCGCGCTCCCGCAGTGCCAACATTCACTGCCCACGGGTCCTCCTTGCTCGCATTTTCCGCAGCACGCGCATGGGCTTCCAGCCTGTTTTCGCTCCACTCGCCCGGGGCCGCCAAATGTGGACAGGGCGGGCCCCGGGCAAAAAACAAAAAGCAAAAATGATCTTCCAGCCCCATTCAATGAATGACAGGCCCCAGCGATTCTTGGGTGTTCTTTTTCTTTGCTTCTCCACGAAACAGGCATTTTGTCAGTGTCTAGTGGCTATCACCGAGAGGTAGTTTGAAACAAAAGTTCACGGGTGGATTCATGTCCGCAAAAACATGCACATCATGTTTTTTTTCATAATTACATCCTAATCGCAATATGCTACGGCTTGTTGGTTGGATGGGTGATTGGGTTTGTAACTGTTGTCGTCGCACGTTTGGCCAGGACAACGCCATAGTGCGACAGCTGTTTCCACCATGTTCCACCCATGTGGAGTCACGTGCCTGCCCTGTTGCAACAGGATGAGCGAACTGCCAATAAGTCTGCCAATAATGCCGCAGACATTTTCCCACCCTGTACCCGTTTATTCCATTGCCGGTGCATAGCGGGCGATCTGGCTATACTGATATGCTGCTTGCTGTTGCACAGATAGGCATTCGCACGGATTTTGGCAGTGGCAAACGACACGAGGGTTTTAGTATGGCTGCTAGAAACAAGTGACATGACCCATCGGAGACGTCAGGCCACTCACATGTATCCCGCGCAAATGTAACACGCAATGTAACGAACTATGACATTCCTCCGCCCATTCTGAGCAAACCCCCCACAGAATCCTGTTCTTCAGGAGCACCGCGTACAAAAGGTGGCAGCTCAGACGACGCGCACGGTCAGGCGGAGAGGACTGACGGGATCAAACGCGCTAGTGGGACCAGAACGCGAGAGGTTCATGAGCGGGCACACCTGCCTAGCCATCTGCATCACCATACGCAAGCAAAAATGGCCATGTGCGACAAGAAATCTTGCAGCTGATTCGGGATGTGGCATGACTGTCACCGACGCCAGGAAGGTCGACCCCCCTTCAAGAAATCTCGGTTGCTTCACCCACCGCGTTGCTTCACCCACCGCCAGCTTTACGGTCTTTATGGGTGGCATTGGGTGATTCTTTTTTTTCCCAGCCTACTCTGTTTTAGCTTCGCTGCTGATGAACCACGTATTGCGAGCGTGCGTGGTTTCTTGGCCCAGTCACCTTGTAGATAGCCCAGCCCCTGGGCACAGAAGGTAGCCCAGCAGGTCAAGAAGATAGCCCAGAACCGAAATTGCGAGGGCACACAAAGCACAAAACATGCGATAGTGATCGGAAGCATGAAGCATGCGCTACGACATTTTGGGCGCGCAGGGCATCTCTGAGCTAGGAGCCTCAATTACCTCATGCAGAGGTTGAGCATCGGGATGTGGTGGTTTGGTGCTGCGATTACGAGTGCGGCATCGCTTCCAATATTGGCAAGAACGTGTCTACAGCTCGGCAGGGGCCCGCCCCCACTCGGAGTGGCCGAGCAGTTGCATAGTTTTTTCTCTCGCGCCATTTTCTCCAGCCGGTAAGTTTGAGGAGAGGCGGGGAGTCAGCAGGAAGGCGGCTTGCAGCGGCTTGCTGTCGTCGCCATTGCCCGCAGGGGCAGCTTGAGAAGTGAGCTGCGAGGGCGTGCTGCACCACGACCGCGAGCAGCGCAGTCCAGCGGGAGGAGAGGCGTCACGGGCACGTCGGCCTCCCACCTTGCCGCCCGTGCCGACCTCGCCGTCAGCCCGTGAATGGGAGCGGCATGGGTGATTAGTTCTTGACTGGCTGGGGCTTGACGCCACGGTGCTGGGCTGGAAGCAGTTGTCAGCGGTACGTGTTCCTCGGCGTCTTATCAGCATCTCCTCCTTCCCCCACTGAGAGGTAAGGCCAATGATAGTCGACTTTCCGGGGCTCCAGGGCAATTTCCGTTCACGTGGCCGAGCTAGCAAAGTTGTCCTGAAGGGACTTGCGTCGCTCCGGTCGACGCCTTGTAAGCCCACGACCTTTGCTCGGGCAGGGTGGGCGGAGGCCCCAAGCTTGCTCCAGCTTTTGTTTTTTTTTTTTTTTTCCCCGCGCCTTTTTGCGTCCGCCGCCGTCAGGGTCGGGTCGGTCGAGTCCACGGGTCCCCTTCGAGGGCCCGGGGGAGGGACCTAGGCCCGGCTGGGCAGACAGCTTGGTGCCGGGACCTCGCTCTCGCTCCAGCGGGCGTCAGCCAGGAGCTCGTGCAAGGCTGGGGGCGTGCCAGCAGCACAGGGCTCAGACGGGACAGGGAGCTCGAGGAAGGTAGCCGCAAGCGCGCTCTGCGCAGCGACGGAAATGATGCCACTCCACCGGAGGACCCAAGCAGCCTGGGCAGAAGCCCTCAGCGCGGCGGGGGTCCCGGCCGCCCTTGTTGAGCTCGGTTGGGGGGTTTTTAGTCCACAGGCCCCGAGGGACACGGTTTTCCCGCTCAACTGCTTTGTCGTACAGACCTACACTACTCCCCTGGACGCTAACTCCAACTAAGCCACCAGCGGGAGGTCAATGCTGCGAGGGCCGCGGGTCGCAAGTGCGCCGGTGCAGCCGAAGCGCCCCCCAACCAAGCCCGATGACTACCAGGCGGCATCGCCGTGCGTGCCTTGCCGCTTGCGTCCTGCTGAGGCGGCGACGCAGTGACGAATGCCCTACCGCGAGCCCGGGTGACACAACATGCGTGTATCACACATGGCCATGAGTCAACTTGCTGTTGCGCTTCCTTTCGAAGTAGGGTTCAAGCGCTCGCTGAACGGCGTGCTTGGCTATGTCCCTCCCAACAGCACGCAGCACACACATACCTTCCTGAGCTGCCAGCGTGGATTCCTAAGAAGCCACAGGAGATGCAACATCGTTCCGCATGGGAATCCGATCAGAAATCGTTTTCGACCCGTATCGTATCTAGTATACAAACAGAACACACCAGTTATTCGGCCAAACCGTTCGCGGCGCCTTTAAGCAGCTCGGCGGTGTGCAATCGCAGCAGTTCGGAGCCCAGTTTTTTAGGGTTTAGGGTTCATAGGGCTCAAGGATGTTCAGCGTTTAGGTTTAAGGTTGAGGGTGCACAGTGTGGGGTTTTGGGTTTTGGGTTTTGGGATTAGGGTTCAGGGTTTAGGGGTGAAGGGACTTGGGGGCTAAGGGGTGCCGGGCTCACAGATGTTTGCCTTCAGATTTCATCCGGTTTCCGCAGCTTCTCCACCCAGTTGCTCCGCATACTGGCTAGACCTCATTCCAGTGGCAGAGGGTTTAGGGTTTCGGGTTTAGGGTTGGAAAGGACCCTGACTGGGATTTCCAGTGTGGCCATTGTGGGCGTGTCAGCTCGCTCACAAGCAGGGCATTTTGGAAAGATGTGTTTCGTTGTTTTTGCTCCGATGCCGACCCCGGCAGTTCAAAATAACTTGATCCCCCACGACCCATGGATCTCCAAATAGCTTATACCTGCATAGGCGTGTTCTCCAGGTTGAGTGCAAAGCCTGACCGCGCGGCCGGCAAGTGATTCAAGACAGCAGTTTGGATTCGTAGCTGTGCCCAATTGCGGCCTCATAGCTTGACACCATGGCGCGCATCGCAACACGGTTTCTTTGTGCGTGCGTGGCACTGGTGGCTATCGCGGTATGCGGCCCGGGTTTTGTGCCCCCATCCGTGAAGAAGACCCAGGCCTTTTGGGGGGGCGACTTAATTTCGATGAATAGGTTTCCGGCGTCTTGGAGCACAAGCCCAACCCGCACCTGGACCCCCAGAGTACGTCAAAAAGAACCCATTACCAGCCACCGTTTTGCAAAACTTGAGTGTTCTTAGGGGGCAATGGAAATTTGGGCACTGTCATTCCGAAGAAGCAGCAACAAGAATACATTTGCCGGGGGCATAACAAAAACAAAAAAAAAAAAACAAAAAAAATGCATGCAAGAATGGACTTTGCAGGCCCAGCCGCGGTCTGCCTTCCAATCCGATTGGCAGCAACGGCAGGTGGGCATTGCACCCGAAGCTCGAGCTCATTGTGGGGGGGAGGGGGGGGGGGGCAACGTGTTGCCTATGCGGTGTAATTTTTAGGCTTAGGGTCTCGGGTTTAGGGTTTAGGGTTTAGGGTTTAGGGTTTAGGGTTTAGGGTTTAGGGTTTAGGGTTTAGGGTTTAGGGTTTAAAGGTTTAAAGGGTTTAGGGTTTAAAGGGTTAAGGGTTAAGGGTTTAGGGTTTAGGGTTTAGGGTTTAGGGTTTAGGGTTTAATTAGCGTTTAGGGTTTAGGGTTTAGGGTTTAGGGTTTAGGGTTTAGGGTTTAGGTTTTTTTTTCACAACGGATCTGCTACTTTGGAACTTGGTAGATGCAGGCACGCCGTTCTTGAAAATCCTTAGGAAACCTAAAGCCTGCAAAACGAACAGTGCGTGCGCAGCGGCTTCATACTACAACAAATCCCTGAACTCAAAATCCTGAAGCCCCTTATAGACCGCATCAAACCGAAATCCTGACACCCTAAATCCAATTCGACGAACAGTTCAGGAAGCGAAAGCAGTCAACGACGAGGCATCGACGTGGTCGACGTTCTTCCGATTGTCAGCTGCGGCATGCTTGGCCTTCATGCGTCTCAGCCTGCGTACTGTTTGGGGTTTAGGGTTTGGGGTTTAGTGTCTTGGGTTGAGGGTGCATTGAGGGGTTTTCTGATGCTGTACTCAGTTCGACGTCCTGGCCTGCTGTGTTCTGCACCGCGTGCTGCAACTGTATGCGCAATGCTGCCCTAATCCACTATTTGCTGAAAAAAACCCACATAAGATGAACATACTCTTCCTCATAAGGGCAATCAAGGGATTCCTATTTTCGTTTTTTAGGTAGGTTCTTGGAAGCAAATAATAGTAAACACCCCTAACCCTAAACCCTACTTTAGAGACGCTTTCCTTTTAGGAACTTGGCAACAAGTTAAAAACAACATATCGGCTGAGCTTAGCAGGCACTTGTAAGTTGTTTTTAACTAGCACAAGTTCTCGGTAAGTTTTGTTCATGGTTTTTGGGCACATGTGATTCTGACTTTCGCACCATTGTCTTGGTTTTAGTTATCAAGATGTCCTGGTGAGAGACTTGTGAGCAGCAGGAGGCGGGGACTGCTTTTGAGAGAAAACAGTCGCAGCGCAGAGAAAGGCGAGGGCCACAGACAGGGCCAAAGCAAGCAAGCGTGCCAAGATACGGCCCATAGCCAAAACAAGCAAACTGGACGCGAGACGCCGCGGACACAGGCGAAACCAAACGACTGCACGTGCGCAGCGTGCGCGGACACGCGCGGGCACGGAAAGTACAACAGAAGCTTCGGAAACGTAGACGCGGACATGCGCGGACAGGTAGTTTTCGTCGACTTCAGCAGAAACACGACCTGACGCGGACACGCACGGACCTATGCGAATGCATTGCGTTTTCGGCGCGGACATTCGCGGACACCTCGCGGACATGCAGAAAGCGTTCGGAATTTGCTGGACATGGCTCAAAAACGAGAACACAAGCCTGATGTGCCTGCGATAAAGGGAAAAAAACGGATGTGATCTGGCATTCAGCATGTATAAGTTTATAGAGTTCTTACAAGCAAAGACAAGAGTGTAGAGACACAATTTGCAAGAACATATACTGCATTTCCTGCCTAGAAAGAAAAACCCACCAAAAAACAAAAAATGTTAACTGGCTAAGTTGCTGCTAACTTTTTGGAGGCTTGGCAGCCAAGTGGCCGCTAATCATATATTTGGTGCACAAGTATGTCGTCAGTTTACATAAGTTAGCTTGAAGATATAGTGAAGATATGATGCTTGTCACCCAATATAGAAAATTATGCTATAACATGCAAGTTACTTGTAAATCTATAAGTAAAAAAACCTATAAGGATACCAAGAGAGCACAACATTAATACTATTATAAACTGGTGCATGAATAGTATTAATAGTGTGTGAACGCAACCAGACCTTGGAAATGAGGTTAATAATGTGAACGAAGAGAACACATTATAATTGAATTGTAAGGAATGCATGACGCACGAATTCAATTAAAATGTGAGAACGAAGTACACGCCCGGACAATAAGATAGGTGTAATGACTTCCGGGCTTATAAGAAGAGAATAATATTATTACCGCGGGCTCAATGTAATGAACGAAGTGAATGTAATGAATGCGTGTGTTACGTTCACGCTTATATTAATTTCATGCGTCCAACACGACTCTAAAGTAAACCCTAAACCTTAAACCCTAGGAAAAACCAAAAGCAAACCTAAGCCGAGGATTGCTCTTCTGCCAATGGACAGCGCCGAGGCCGCCAGATCTGGTGGTCGCATGGGTGGAAGGCCCGACATGCCTCGCTTTAGGGTTTAGGGTTTAGGGTTTAGGGTTTAGGGGTTAGGGGTTAGGGTTTAGGGTTTGCGACATTAGGGGGTGCCTTATTTTCATAAACCCCCAAATTTGTGGGTAGTTCATGCGAGCTCTCTAAATTGGGGTCCCTTTTTCGGGTGGCTCTTATTTCAAGATGCCGCTCTATAGGAGGGACCCCAGATACTCGTAGTGGGACCCTGATTTTGAGAACTGCCCAGTAGACATGAGCTGGCACCTCAAACCATCGCAGACTTTGCGCCAGGATGTCTGGGGCACGATCTATGCCCAGGCCAGGTGTCACCTGCAACGTTTTTTTCCCGGAGGGTTTATCGTTTAGGGTTTGGGATTTAGGGTTTAGGGTTTAGGGTGTAGGGTTTGCTGCAAAAGGGTTTAGGGTTTAGGGTTTAGGCCGTGTGGATGCGAGGGGGGGAGGCACTCGAGGTATTTTTGTGCCGGCTTGCTGGCACCCCCTGCCCAGAACCCTGGGAGGATCCAAGAAGTAGAGCCCCCAAACAGTACCCAAAAGCTTAAACCCTAGACCCTATACCTTTATACCCTATACGACTGTTGGGTCATTTTTAGGAGCCTTTGAGGGGACCTACTTTTTGGATCCTCCCAGGGTTCTGGGTGCAGGATGTCGTCGCGCTCCAGCAGGCCAAATCGCCCCCCACCGACCTCCCGGCAGAGCAGCGGCACCGCCCGGTCCACGCCCCGGGATTTAATCCGCAGTTGCGCAGTTCTCTGAATTAGGTTCCCTTTGTGGGTCCCTAGATAGTGCGCACCCAACAAGAGAACCTAAACCCCACTTCATACTACCCCACTACCCAGTTGTTACATCGTCTGCACACAAACACGCACGCACACGCACGCACACGCACACGCACACGCACACGCACACGCACACGCACACACGCACACACCCACACACACACACACACACACACACACACACACACACACACACACACACACGCACGCACGCACGCACGCACGCACGCACGCACGCACGCACGCACGCACGCACGCACACGCACGCGCACCCGCACACGCACACGCACACGCACACGCACACGCGCACACGCACACCCGCACACGCACACCCGCACACGCACACCCCACCCAAGCACACCACACGCACACCACTCCACCCGCCACGCACACGACCACACGCACACGCCACACACCCCACACCCACACACCACACACCCACACACACACCACCCACACACCCACACCCCACCCACCCACGCCACCCACACAC